CGTATTAAACTAGACGTACACTATTTGATTGACGTCACTATGTATTTTTTTTTTCATAACGAGTATATGCCCTAGATGAAAGCGATCATTGTCATTGCCGCCAGTCATCTGCTATGTAGACATAAGCTTCAGGATTAGCGTCACGTTCTTAGCGTTCGTTGCAAACAGGATGAAAATTAAACTGTTTGTTTTTCATCTGACAGAATTTAGACATAAACATAACCCGCCAACGAACGTGCCATAAGTGTTGGATGAGCCTATGACTAAAATATAAAAAGTATGCAGAATTTGGTTTTCTCAACATGACAGACTTGACAGAACATTTTCTCAACATGACAGAAAATAGTTGGTGATTGTTCAGCTTTAGATTTTTCGTACGAGTCCTAACACAACGTGTGAACTCTGTATCTTTATTCGATTTTCGTTAGTCATTAAATTAAACCTCGAATCTTATTAACAAGTAAATGGATCCACATCCATCTCAGTTTCAGTTTTAATTCTCTATTAAATATGTGCGTGTGTCAGGTTTTGTGTATAAATACATTTATTTCGACAAGATCACTAGATTAGAAATACAGCTTGAGAAAAGTATTTGGCAGGTAGAAATAAACAGAATACGTAAAATCTGTAATGGAAGCTTTCAAAACTGCATAAGGCTCTCTATTTGTAATTAAGCACAAAGCTACACATTCAGTTATCTGTGCTCTGCCCAACACGGCTATCGAAACCCGGTTTCTACGTAAACCAGTTTTCGTCTAATTCTTTAGTATTCTACAGGTTTGAGTGGTTATTTGGAAATCATGTATACTTATCTTCATGTGGTCTGCGAAGATTTAATGTGTTATGTTTTTACAGGTTTGAATGGTTATTTGGAAATCATGTATAATTATCTTCATGTGGTCTGCGAAGATTTAATGTGTTATGTTTTTTCAACGTGCGACATGAATATTCTAATTCTTAACTTTCTTAAGTGTAGTAAGATGCAAATGTAAGTGTTCTTTCAAAGAAAGTTTTAGGCAATACATTGGCATGTTCAATAGTTTCTTGAAGGTAACTCTGCCTTCTACTAGATATTGGAAATGACTTTTGGGACTCGTAGATAGTTCTACTGGTTTTCAGCAAAGAGTCCAAAACGTGTCTTTAAAACAAACAGAAGGCATAATCTATCTACAAGAATTACAATACTGTTCAGTTTCACTATATATAACAGTCAGTGTGTCAATCACATTGTCAGTTAATCCACTCTTTTTTTACGGATGATTAAACTTTGAAAAACAAAATTTGCACAAGCTCCTGTATATTCTACTGGAAAACACGGTTTTCTGAAGGAAAGAAATGTTTAGGTAGTTTACGCGTTCTTCAATTGTTTTTCATTAACAGGCACGTGCTACAAGTTACCAAACGAAGCTAATAAGGCAGTTAGTCAACATAGATAATGTACGAATTTTTACAAACATTACACAAGCATAATAAAACTACATCATTCATTTGTTGATAACAATGTGTAGGAAAGTCTACATCATATATCCACGTCCTGCAACCTGCAACAACGATAATATATATGAATATCATCAGTGCTTTTACGTTTTATCAATAACACCTTTGTTCACTGTTTTATACTTCAGTGGCTAACCCTATATCATATGTACATTTCGTTTCGAGTTATCTCCAGAATAGTTTTCCCGCGCTGGTTTCTAATGTAGGGACGCACACTCTTAAGGGATATTTCCTGTGATTGCAGTGGTATCTAAAATGACTCTAATTAGTGCTCGAAACGTCATAATCTATAAATATCTAGATTTCTAGAGCATTCTACGAAACTTTTCCGTACTCTGTCAGGAATTCCAATGGAACTGTTGAACACTCATATTTAAACATTTTCTTTCGTTTGCATTCTCGTTGCTATTCTAAATACGGAATTCAGAGACCAAACACGATAAAACTGGCGTAATTGTATCTTCAGTTGACACAGTTTTATGTTTTATGGCCATCGGGTCATTAAGTACGTTCTTTTATACCTGTATATTATGTTTTTCTAATATAAGTTTTATCATATTTGTTCTATATTTGTTTGACAAATCTATAAAATGCTCAAGAACGTTGAATGTTCTTCATTTGTTTGACAAGTCTATAAAATTCTCAAGAACTTTGAATGTTCTTTATTTTTATTTGTGTAACAGGTCTATACAATGTTCAAGAATTTGAATGTTTTATTTCTTTGAGAAGTCTATAAAATTCTCAAGAACATTGAATGTTATTTATTTGTTTGACAAATCTATAAAATGCTCAAGAACTTTAAATGTTCTTTATTTGTGTGACAAGTCTATAAAATGCTCAATAACTTTGAATGTTATTTATTTGTTTGACAAATCTATAAAATGCTCAAGAACTTTAAATGTTCTTTATTTGTGTGACAAGTCTATAAAATGCTCAATAACTTTGAATGTTCTTCATTTGTATGACAAGTCTACAAAATGCTCAATAACTTTGAATGTTCTTTATTTGTGGGACAAATCTATAAAATGCTCAAGAACTTTAAATGTTCTTTATTTGTGTAACAAATCTGTAAAATGCATAAGAATTTGAATGTTTTATTTGTTTGAGAAGTCTATAAAATTCTCAAGAACTTTGAATGTTATTTATTTGTTTGACAAATCTATAAAATGCTCAAGAACTTTAAATGTTTTTTATTTGTGTGACAAGTCTATAAAATGCTCAATAACTTTGAATGTTCTTCATTTGTGTGACAAGTCTATAAAATGCTCAAGAAATTTGAATATTCATTAGTTATACGAATCATCTGCCTAAAAATATCTTTATGTTTTTCAGTTGAACAACCAACCAATAAAATATAATTCTGAATGTAATTTAGTTGTTTCTCCAGGCTATGAAATACATAAGAAGTTTCAATGTTCTTTGATTGCTGACCATCTTAAAAATACATAAGAACTTTGAAAGTTCTTTACTTGTTTGATCAGACTATAAAGATATATAAGATTTGTAATGTGTTTTAGTCGTTCAACATGAGACTTTGAAGAGAATTTAGTTATTTGCCTAGGCTATAAAACATGCATTTCGAATGTTGTCCAGTTAGCCACTAGTTTATAATGTACAGAATATTTATTACTACTATTTAGTTTGTGATTTCTATGTTTTAAGTCTATGTAACAGTACCCTAATTATCTCTCTTTGTAGCCAGAAGATAAAACGAACTTAAATAGCTTTGAATCCATCAGAAATATGTCATTTTTTTAAACAATGTAGCTCCCTGAACTGAGGTTAAATAGCAATTTACGTTAATAAAAATTGAAAATGTTCGATGATTGCTTTCAAAGAATGTTCTTGGTTTTTTTTAATAATCAAAAAAAGGGTAAAAGTGGTATAGCTTTTTTTTGTGGGCTTTTGTGTGGCAATAAAAACTATGTTTTATTTTAATCTATAGATCTTTTAAACGTCTTTAACATAAAAAAATACTTCTGAAAACTAAAACACGCCAGTTGAAACTTAGTAACCGAATATTTAACGTTATCAAGAGATCGACAGAGTATCCACAGAAAGTCTTCCTAACCGTACATATCTAAAACCAGTTATAATATATGCCCTCCTTAGTATGTTGTAGAATACGTCTTATATCTTACAACGTTATACGAAATCAAACTTGTTCGGAATACAAAGATATGTCATGCAGCTAAGTGAAATACGTTTATGGTAAACCGCTTGTTGTGCGCTTTAAAATAAAGTACAAATGACAGGAACAAGTTTTCTTGAATTGTTTGTTTTAACATTATGTTTATATTTACATCTACAATAAAAAAGTGGAATGTTTTAGAGAGGGATAGGACGTATAAAGCTAGTAACTAATGTGTAAAGTATTATTGTTCTATCACATCATACGTTTTTCAAGCAAAAGTACCCGTCCCCAGTGACAGAAAAAGTTTAAGTTAATCTATCAGTTTATATTATTTCATGGACTTAAAAAAGTTGGTTTTACTCATAGCTAAAGCTCTGAGCTACTTATACCGCCCATAGCGAAAAGTAATTGTTGAGCATTTCATCATTCTAAGAGCTGCTCAACAATAACATATGGTAAATCTACATTTATATTTTTTAAGTTACGTTACAGTTTAAAATGTGAATGATAGTGTGATTAATTCCAACAATTTAGTGTAGAATGTCCTGCTTGAGAAATAAAATTTGTCATCAACATTATTCATGCCTGTTCTCCCGTCATTTCAAAAGTGAATGTTGAGCTTTGCCTGCGTGCGCAGCTTTTCGAACGGGAGTCAGACGAACGCTCGGACAGACACCACGGTTCGCAATATAAATAGGATTAGTATCCTCTAAAATAAACAGCTTTAAAATAAACAAATTGAGGTTTTAACTTTACTTGCTATTCTCATGGTTTGATTTTCAACTTTTTTTCCATATATTGTCAATGATATTGAAGTTCTGTTTAAATGTCTCGCAGAAACATAATACTGATTCAGGTAAAATGGAGTATATGTATTTCACCACAGCTTGTTATGCATGGTCTGGTTGCTAGGGCGCTCGACTTGCAATCTGTGGGTTTCGAGGAAAAGAGTAATCTAAGATTTGGCGATGGATAGTGTTGACTGCTGTTTTTCCTTTAGTCTATCACTGCTAAATTACAGAAGGCTAGTGCAGATTTTTCTCGAATAGCTTTGCGCGAAATTCAAAATAAACCAAATCATGTCTGTTTTGCATACGCTAATATCGTTTCTCATCACTTAGATAAATTCAGCTCTACGTATTTTAAGTTACAACTTGTGATAATTACAAAATAAAACATGTTCCATTTAAAATTTGCACTTGGTTAATTAGAGCAAGTTCCTGGACAGCAGTAAAAAATAAAACAGCATAAAACCGTATTTGATTAATCCATGAAAATATATGAAAACAAAAAAATAATATTTTTTATTAACTGATAGGAAGTGTCACGTTTTAAAACTGTAACAAAATAAAACAAGTAGAAACCTCACCTCAGGGGGATCGGTTAAGTTGAGTACCTCACCAGTACACGCCACTCTTTCAGCAAACTGAAGAAGTCCTGAAGAGGTATTAAGTTCAGGCCAACCTCGGTTACTATAAATATTAAATAAGGCAAGAAATAAAATGAGCAGAATTCTCTACATTTCACAGAGCGAAGGTTTCGACAACATCTCTGGAGTAACAGATCGAACTTGTAAGAAAACTGGAGCAATTCAAGTTGGATGATTTACAATACCACCGTGTGTGATAAATAAAACATTACGCTCGAGCCACGGCTTCGAATGAAACCAAATATTATTGTTGAAGCTGATCAATATCGAGTTTAATGTTTGTTTGTTTTTGTATTTTGTAGAGATTACAGCAAGTTTAAGAATATCTTGAACAACCAACATAACTTTAACTGTTAATCTCATTGTATTTACATTTTATACCACATTCTGATAAGGCATGCTTATTTCATTCTAAAAAGAAAATTTCTGTGGCAAATCTATGTAAAAAAATTTTGAAAATCCTTCCGAGTATTCTTCCTGACGGTCTTTCGTATGTTATATGACTACCGAAGGATAAAAAAGTCTAACACTTACCATATAGTGTCTAAACACACCTAGCTTTCTTTACATTTTGTGAAAAACTACTTTTTAAAAGAACTTTTTTAACGTAATGTCAACATTTTTATTTCGAACATAACTGTACTTTTTTATTTTAATACCCTTACTTCCAGTGCAATTACATACTGATTCAGACATTTTACATACAATTGTTAATTTAGAATCACAACATCTCACGAAAAACTGGTTTAATATACGTTTCGTACTAACTAATGAATACAGCTTGTCTTTGAAAGAGGACAACAATCTGATAAAATATACCATTAAATTAAGATATACAAAAACGTATTCCAATTCAAGAAGTTACTGTTAAATGCTCGCAGAAATTATAGCAGTAGATAATTGCAGGCTATTTCTTTTATTTAACTTGTATATGTAACTAAGAATTGTCTACAAAATACCAAACACGTGTTAAACATGCAATTTTTAGAAACTTTGTTATATCTCGCACTATAAATCATTTGATTGTTTTGTTTGTTTTTGAAGTTAAGCACAAAGCTACACAATGGGCTACCTGTACTCTGCCCATCACGGGTGTTGAAACCGAATTTCTAGCGTTGTAACACCGCAGACATACCGCTGTGCCACTGGGGGGGGGCATAAATCATTTGAAACAATTTAAAATGTTTTATATGTTATCTTGGTTTAATATAATTTTAACAACGTTTGAGCTATTTAGAGATTTAGCTACCTGTTTATTAAATCTATTTTTACAATTCCATGGTATTCTAGCTTATATAATTGAGCTGCTTATTGTTATTGTTGTTGCTGCTAACATATTCTTAAATCAGTTGGTCGAGGCAACTTACTTCGAGAGCGTATGACCTCCTGCAGGTGATGCTAAGTCAAACGTTCGGCTAAACTTGACACTCTGAAATATCACGAGAAAGTGACTGTTAAACTTTTTACTATTTCATATTATCTGTCATTTTTTTTTGTAAAGTAACATATCATTTCTTTAAAAGGTGACTAATAAATTTTTCGTGTACCCTGTTTTTTCTGTAATTATTTTCAGTAAAATATCATTTATTTACAGTTTTCATGTGTTTTTTTATTCAAAGTTAAATACAAATATATGTATAGATCGTAATAAAATAAAAGTACTAATTCTATTAAAAAGATGTAACAAAAAATGTTATTGTGATATATTTACACAAACATCAGATCGTAAAAACTGTACTACTTTTTGTTTTCATCTGTTATAAGGCCTGTATTTTCTATTTTTAGGACTTTGTGTTTCGTATATTTTAAACCAAAGCTAAAAATCGTCTGAAAGTGACGCATTTGTTTTCCATTGATTCTCAACCAGCCTGAATATAACCATAAAATTGTATTAACTGAGGTGTTAAAGTTTGTAGAAGGTGGTTTTATTACTGATATATTGCTGATATTTATAGAGGTAGTGGGTATAGAACGTTAGTTATATGATATTATCTAACTTTTATATTGTTTTTCAGAATTTATAGTGCATACTGGAGGATCTGGACATAGTGGTAATAAATTCAGCGAAAAAAAAAGGCCTTTACTCTCCAGATAATAATAAAAAACTTTCAGCCAACGTTTCGCCCTTACGGCTTCATTGGGATTTGTAGTACAATACCTTTTGTATTGTTGCGAGTTGTCATACAATTTTCATGTGTTTTCTTGTTGTCTGTTTTTATTGTTGATTTAAAATATCATTGCTAGCATTGTCATACACACGCTCTCTAAACTGCCAATTACACTAAACAAACTCATACACGTATTGTGCAATAGAACACCATAATATAACATAGCGTTGCTGTTACAGAATTTACAGTGTTGTTCGTTTGGTAACTGGTTCTTGATTGGTATTTCATGGGTCTCGTGTAACGAATGCTATACGCGAACATCGGTCGATGAAGCTAACATGCACTAAAATGTTAGAGAGCAAGGACACTGCTAGATAACGTCATGTAAACATAAAATGTGAACTCATATAATGTTTAAAACAACACTTGGATGTTTAGTTATTCACAAACTACATGAATTCCAAATCAGAGCATTTTTAGGCGTGCTTATCTCCAACAAGTATTTCATTGTTAAATAAAATAATAAAATGAAAGTCAACGTTTTTTACTTGCACAATCATTTATTGGTAAAGATTAAAAATATACAAGTTCAAAGAAACTTAAAAACTCTACATTTTTCGGTGTAAATAATTCCATCATCTTCCCCTGAAGATTTTGAAGTTTCTTTTAACTTGTATGTTGAAATCCATATTGTTATTGAACTAGGTCCAAAGTTTGGATTGCTTAGATAAATACCAAGTTAAATTAATTTGATAATAATGAGTATTATTGAAAATTTGAAACGTAAGATATCTTTGATCATATTGAATAACATGGTCAGCTGAGCACTGCCGTTTGGAGCCGGATCAGCCCTAATAGATCGATGGTAAAGAATATGATCCAAATTAGCTTTATACGTCTTGAGAAACGGGTGTATATCATGTTTATATACGTATAATTGAACACTTTTATACCTTCTATGTATTCATGATACGTAAGCGTTGTTATGGTGTGAACGCTTTTTGCTGCATATTGAAGCCTGATTATAATCAATTATATTTGAGGTAAGGCAACAGTATTAGGTTTATTCTATTTTTTTAAAAAAAACACTACATTGTTTATGCGGTCCCTTAGTGTTTTCCCAAGAAAAATGTATATAACAATATTTCAGCCATATGTCAACCACATTCATAAGATAAATATTATTTACTATAATTACGCTTCCTAAGCAAAAGGTGCTCATCATTTCAATTGTTATTCTAATAAATGGCTTAAATAAATAGCGTTACGAGCACTTGTGTGTTTCTTAATAAGCTCTGGTATTGAGCGAAAAACATCATCGGCAATAGATGTGATGGACACAGTGTTGTTGAAATACCATTATACACCCTTCTTTTCGGAAAACATCCATAAGGTGCAGAGTGAAAAAAAAATGAAGTATTCGAAAAATACAATAATCCTAATACTCTTGTCTTATGATAAATACACGGGAGATTTGTTCGAGAAACTAAAGGCAACTGTTAATCGTATCGAATGTTATGTATGTGTGTATTTGTTTGTTTCGACACAATGGACTATCTGCACTCTCTTCACCGCCAGGGGACAAACATTATCTAAACGAGAAATGTTTTTTACTTTTAAAACTGGCCGCAAAGACGTTACCTAATTACCTTTTACTTTAAATTCGTATAAATCAAACGTATACTCTACATCGTTTAATGTTTTGCCACTAAAACATTTCATCAGTATGATCTGAAAAATGTATTGAGATATAAATTTTCAAATGCCATTACGTTCTTACCTCAGTATTTCCTCCTTCTTGGAGCAACAGTAACGCAGCACGTTCACACTTCAATAGCCTTTGAGCTCGCTGCATGATCTTTAAGATGACTTTATCCAATGATGTTTGTTCTTCAAACAGATCATGAACCACCTCCAATAAAGACTTGAGACGAAAATATCATGTAAATATGTTAATACAAAGGAAGTCTTAGAAATTAATTGATAAGTTCCTTGCGAAGGTTTCGAACCCAGTATAACTGCCAGAGCATGAATAAGTTTAGAATTAGAGGAATTTGGGTAAAACAATATATTTAGTGCTGCATCAAGAACATGAATATTTTTATTGGTTGTACTCGTCCAAGGAAATTAACAGTTGTTTTCTTTTAAACACACATTATAATTAACATCCGATTTCTTTCCTCCTTTAAACCGATCTTACTGAAGAGTGGAGCGCCATCTATAGTTAGGGCTCATTCTTCAACTTAAAGATTGTCCTTTACATTTACTTAGGTATTCTTGAAGGAAAATAAAAATTTTAAATGGAGCTGAACCATTGCTCTAACTTATGAATCGTTCAATATATAATTAACAGATTCTCCTGATGGCTAAACAGGTCAAATTAGTAGTTGTAATGGTTAGTGGCCTATATGATAATCTAACTCTAATTATTAATTGGTAACTAATTTTATTATATATATATCATTTACTTAATTATATTTTATAGTTACATACTAATTAGTTCTTGTTCTAAGTTCTAGTTTCTAATCTGCTGCTGTCTCCTGAGAGGTTCTAAGAAGGGCTATTATCTGAGAGGTTCTAAGAAGGGCTATTACGGTTTCAGTAATGTCTGGGATTTGAGCCTGAAGCTTCTTGACAGATGCTCCACAGTGGCACAGAGGTATGTCTGCGGACTTACAGCGCTAGAAATCGGGTTTCGATACATGTGGTTGATAGGGCACATATAGTCCATTGTGTAGCTTTGTGCTTAACTTCAAACAAATAAACGATCTTTATAGACAGTTTAATGCATTATCCACTCAACAGAGGTCTTTTTCCATTATAACTTTAATCAACTATATGAATGCTTTCAAGAAGAGAATCTAGGTTTTACTGACTTCTACGCTAGAGTGACTAAGTGTGTTATCCGCTAGGTGGACACAGAAGATATTGTCCGTGTGTGATTTATATCCCATTAATTTAGTATTATTCCATTTTACCGTACGGTCTTTTTTGCTGACATGATGGGCTGTTGGAGAGAGATCGGTATTACTGAGTGGTATGTTTGTTATGCTCCTGAATTCTATATTTTTTATGTCAAAGGAATTGGAATCCACAGTCACAAGGGGTTGGCGGTGGGTAGTATTGACTAGCTGTTTTTCCCTTTTAATATATCCCTTCGAAATTAGGAACGACTAGCGTAGATAACTTTGCGCGAAATTTAAGAACAGAAGTAAAAAATGGCTTCTTTCTATCTGTGTGTCCGCCTTTCTCACTTTTAGGCTTTGACCAATTTCAAAGAAACTTAGCACGCACCCTTACGGTCACTAGAACGATAAAGCTTTCGGATATTACTTCCTAATGTCACTAACCGGAGACTGTATTTCCTCTCCGTGCGTAGCCAATGTATTATATATATATATATATATATATATATATATATATAATAA